CCTCCCCCTCACCCTCACCCTCACCCTCACCCTCACCCTCACCCTCACCCTCACCCTCACCCTCACCCTCACCCTCACCCTCACCCTCACCCTCACCCTCACCCTCACCCTCACCCTCACCCTCACCCTCACCGTCGTCGTCGTCGTCGTCGTCGTCGTCGTCGTCAACATCACACATCACACATCACCACCAGAAGTAGCATCAATGCCACCATCATCAACACGAGTTTGACGAGCGATGCCGAACAGGAGGAGGAGGAGGAGGCGGAGGAGGAGAGAAGGAGGACGGAGGGGGAGACGGACCACGAAGGTGCGACGGTGACTGTCGACGGCGACTACGACCATGCAGACTCGTATTGCAATCAATAACTTGCCATCCTTCCAGAAACTCCTCGAGCTGGACACTAGAGCCATCAGGCATCACGCGCAGAAATCGTCTGCAACAGGACTCACGTTTGGAGGCTGGCCTAAGGCCTTAACACCTACCTTGTTCGAACCCTGAGAGGGACCCTGGGACCCTAAGCACCGAAAGCTTCGACCCATTCCCGACCATCACTGTCTGCATTCAGTCTTCAACTGTTACGATTTTCAATGAAAGGACGGCCTCACTGGCTCTGCGTGGGGCGACTGGTCTTTGTACACTGACTCCCCCCTGCGCTGAGAAGCTTTGAAGCGACTGCAGGGCTGGAGCTTGGAATTAATTATTAGTTGCCATTTATCTTGGACATAAGTACAGGCCTTTCGGGACTGGGTTGTTGGAGCAATCGACATAAGCAGAGAAAATAATGAGGCTTCTACACCAGAATTGGAAGTTTGCCCCGTGATCCGGCAGAACGTACCGAGTGCCCCTGCCTCCTGGCTTCTGCGCTGCCGTCCAACACGGTCCGGCGCTGTTAAGGCGACGGTGAGCAGCAACAGAAAAGGGGCGCGGTGGACTTAAAGGATTGGGTGACGTTTGCAGTCGTATACAATTGTGCAGTTCTGCATGACGACATGCCTCGGGCATCGAACAGCACCATCTGTAGATCACCGTGATAGGGGACAAGGCCAAAACGCGGTAAGGCCTAGTAACGGACAACCATGAATAGTAAACCAGGATAAGGCCAAAGAAAAGAATCCTTGTTCAGCGTCATGTGGTTCCTGGCGTCTCCCCTGGCCACAGCCGGTGCAGAGGAGGGGATGCGGCCCGTGGCCATGACCTGCTTGACATTTCACAGCCTTCTCGCCGCCGTTTGGAGCGCAAAGTGGCTTGAGCGTTTCCCATATGGCTTGCAGTAAGAAGTCCTCAGCATGAAGCCTGAACCCGAGCGCTGCAAGGCCACGCTCAATGGAACTTTGGATCATGGCCCTACAAACAGTTTCCACCGAAAGTCTCATGAGCGCGAACGATACTGCATGCTAAATGACCAGTCACCACGGAAAGTAGAAACCAAACATATACTGTGCCACTATGCAACCCTGAACTCTCGACGTCACTTCACTTGACTACGCCGTCCTGCATCCCCTATAAGCCAAGCTTGCAAAGTCGGCTTCGAGCTTGGGGAAGGCGCCAAACGCTTGACCATTTCGTTTGTGAGGGGGTCAGTCAGAGGGCTGTTTATGATTCGGGGCTCAGGGTTCAGTAGTTTGCAGTTTCTGCTTGGGCTGCTGGGGCATTTTTCTGCTCAAGGCTTCGCTGGACCATTGTTGCTGGACACGTGGTTCGGTTTTGAATCCCCGTGTGATCTTTGGAATCTGCCGACTTCAAATACCCGCCCAACAAACGAGAGGAGGATGCAACATATCTTTTACGGCACATGACCTTATGTCGAAGCCCCTGCTTCCCCCCCTGTCGTCTCGTCGAGAAATGTTTGAGCTTGGGGCAGTTTTGCTCGTGTGCTTGGACCGTGTGATGACCTGCTGCCTCCAATCCGTCGCAGAGCCTCGAAGCCGTCTCAGTTTGGTGTGTCAAAATCATCATTGCAGCTGCTGTCACGTAGCTCGTTCTTGGTCCGAGCGCCCATATAGTCCCGTGAACCTTGAGGTCTAGCCAATATAGTGAAATCTAATTGGATTTGTGGCCCTGCAGTGTATGCTGCCAACCAGCACTTCAAAACGAAGAGTCAGGACAAGATGGACGTCACTGCGGGTGTCGACGACAGAGCGGTGTGGGCTTCAGACGATGCAAGTTGCAACGTGGATGTTTTCAACAGATTGGGAGCAGCACCCTGCTTCAGAAACCATAGCTCTACAAGTCAAGGTTGAAACCAAAGCCAGTGTCCTCCAGAAAAGGTGTTGGATGAACACTGAAAGCCTCAAAGTTCTCGTCATCGAGCAATGCCAGGTTTATGCGAAGCTGTCCACTTCAGCGTCGTCGTCGTTTGACCACCGTCCTGCAGGCGTCGGCGATGCGTGATGCTGCGAGCTGGTCCGTCACAGTTCACTCCTGTTCTCTGAAACAAGTATGCTTGGATTCATTTCCAACTAGCTCCTTGCCCGTGCTGTTCGGCCACCACCCCATGCCAGGCTATCTGCCGCGAAGTAGGCAGCGCTGCAGGGTGCAGAATTTGCAAAATCCGCAGCGAGTGTTCCCAGTCTGACCACGAATGAAGGAGGGTCGCAGTTGTTCCTCCTTGATTGCTTGTGTTTGTGGTTATTCATTGTTCTTGTTGTTGTTGTTGCTGCTGCTGATGCTGGTAGTGATCGTGGTAGTGGTGGTGTTGTTGTTGTTGTTGTTGTTGTTGTTGGTGGTGGTGGTGGTGGTGGTGGTGGTGGTGGCGGTGGCGGTGGTGGTCTTGTTGGTCTTGGCCCTTTTGTTTGGTCTTCTTGTTCTCTTTCTCGTTCTGATTCTGGTTCTGGTTCCTGATTTTGCTCTTGTTTTACAGATTAGCACGGAAAGCTGCAAGAACCCTTTGTTCCTCGGGTGGTGCTTATGCATGGTTTATGCAGAATGCTGACAGCGCCAAGCTTCGATCGTTTTCGTTGCTCTGAAGGAAGTAGAGCACTTCTCAATGATTTCTGTCTGACTGTGGACCGCATTCGCTCGGTTACTGACTTTGTTCTTGTCAACAGATGTGTACCACTTTATGCTTGGAGCACGTCTTGCGCAACTGCGGTCCAAGGGCAAAGCAATCCTTGACCTCGAGGGCCCACGTATTGCCAAGGAGTAAACTGCATCAGCGACAGACGAATTGATGAAGGTCAAAGCTAGCTTTCTTTGGGAACGGGCCAACCTTCCAGGTTTCATGTTTCGGCGCTCGGGTGCAGATCGTGAGGGCGTTAGGGCTTGCAGGGAACCTCGTGAGTCGAAGCGTTTGCTTTGATATGCTGTAACCGCACGCTGCCCGTTGTGACTACGCTGGTACATCAACCTCAGGCTTTCACTAGACCCAAACGCCTGTAGCCAACTTGCGCAGCTTCCTTCCAGCTCGTGTTCAGCTTGAAGCCAAGACACCCAGCCCTGCAGTTTATCCCGGAACGCCCAGCATGGCGTGGATGAGGCTCTGGGGGCCTATCCATAACACTTGCGGGGTGTTTCTCTGTCTCAGTCTTTCAGATCCCCTTTCAGACGACTTCAGACCGTTGAATGCAATTCGAAGAGTTGCAGGAGTATTGACAAAGTGCTGCAGTGGGCTTTCGCTGTGGGGGCTCGAGTCTTGCGCCGTCGCACAGGATGGGAGTCACAGGGAAGGCCCGCTATCAGGCCAAGACCTGTTGCTGTCTTCCCCATGCATGATGCGATCGTAGACTCTTTGAAGAATCTCAGAAGCCAACAATATTGCACATTATCCAAATTTTCTCAAGCCATGATGTAGATCAAGCCTCTCGGGCTCAAAGCAAATTCGACGAAGCAACTGGGGAAGCACAAGACTTCGATTTCAGAGAACAGTTTCTCTACATGTCTAAAAAGAAAAGTAATGCGACAGCCTCTGCGGCGCCGTGGCGGAACATTTATGAAAAAGAGCTTGCAAAACAAGCCGGCCTTCCTAGTGCCAGAGCCATTTCCTGAAGCCCTGCCCAAGCTACCGTAGGCGAGCAATTTTCCAGGACTTGGTTCTCGATTCTCGGGATGTCGCACTGAACTCCCAGGATGAACAGTTGGCATCGGAGCCATGGCTTGATCAAGATTTCGGACCATGAGGAATGCTTGCGAACCATGTGCTGCCGTGCTGACGGTGGGGCTCTCTTACTGTCCTAACAGCAGAGTATACCAGCGCGAGCTGATACATCGCCTGCTCGGGAGAACAGTAAAGCAAAGACTCAGCAAAGACGCCTTCAACATGAGTCTTGTGCTGGTCCTCGTACTCAGGATGCTACGGACTGTGTGATTAGGCCGGGAGGGCTTTCAGATGTTCTTTTGAGTCTTTGACATCGGAGGTTCAGGGGCTTTAGGGTTTTATGAGGGACTTGACAAGGGTCTTTGCAAGGGTTTGCCAAGGAAGCTTGTCAGGGTTAGCGTTTGCATGTACTGCCACTGCCCAAAAGCACGTGGTCCACTGAGATTCTGCCTCGCTTGTGGCAAGAACTAGCTCAGGTGGTGTTTGCTTTGCAGGGTGGGGTTTGGACCACCTTCGTTTTGTCCGTCACCGACAAGGGCCACACACCTGGTTGGCGCCCTTTCCAAACTTAAAGGCTCAGAGAGCTTGACGTGCGCCCCAGCGCTCATGGACTTCTAGGGCTTCAATGAATGAATGCAAGCAAAAATCTGGTAAAGAGTCTTTTGCTGAGTTCAAGATCAATCTGCATGCATTGACCTGTTGCTGGGAACTAGAGTACATGGTTTGGATTTTCAGCGTTCGGGATTTCGGATGGCTATGTCCGACCCTGAACCCACAACAGTGCCTTTTTCTGATTCAGAAGCAGGAGAAGAGGAAGGGTCTCACACACAGGAAGAAGCAGAAGCTCCAGTTCTTTCCGGTGCGACCGACCCAACTGCCAGGTGAACTCGAGTGTGTCGGACAGTCACCTGCCGAAAGTAGGCATACAAGGGATTGGCCGGCGGCGACTCTTACCGAAACGGCAATGCTTCGCTCGATCTTTTCAACATCTCCGGTTACTGAGAGATCCAGGGAAAATGCCATCCCGTCGCCTGGATACAACTGGATGGTTTTTACCAAGAAAGTCTAGCAGAGCGTGTTCTGATGCTTGACGGCAGGTGTTTCCAGCGCGTGTCTTTCGCGGCGGCCTTGGTTTTCTGCCGGTTCCACATCCGGGCTCACTTTTCTGAGTTCGGCATGGGCGCAGGTTTGCGTTTGATGCCCACAGTCGCTCCAAGCCTCATGGTGAAGTAGATAAGCCCAAGAACTGGTTGCCTTAATGTCGTTCTTGGTGTGGGTGTGTGTTCGATTCAAACTGCATCTGCAAGTGTCGAGACTAGTCTTAAGTGTCGAGACCAGAGGTACTAGAAAGTGCTCTGAATTTCGAGACCTGGAGGTGTTCAGCTGTAGCCGCAATTCAATTCTCTGGGGAGCTGCAGACTCGGCAAAGCTACAGCGTTTGCAAAGGCGAGTGGAAGGCCCTCCCAGGCTGCAACCGTTGAACTCTGAGTCAAGGGTGAACTAGCAAGAGCGTTAAAAAAGACTCCGGTTTCTTATGACGTCTCCCCTTAAGGTTCTCGCAGAGCAATAGCCAAGAAAAGCGAGAGTTGATCTGATCGCGGCAGGGATCGTGCATATAAAGAACCTGACAGACTCTGCGGTTGAGGTGCTGTAATCAATCTCTGGGTTTGGGGTCTGGAGGGGCTCGAAGAAAATGTTGAACCGTCGTGCTGTCCGGCGAACAGGCCTTGTCTTGCAAAGAGACTATGTCGAAATCACCCGGTGCTGCCATCGCGAGCCGGCACAAGCACAATCTAGCTCAACAAGCAAGCCTTTCAGCACCAAACTCCGGAATTGTCAAACCCTGAAGCAACACGTGCTGAAACATGCACAAACATCGAAACACAAACCTTTGTGTTCTCCGAGGGCGCTGTGTTGATCATCATCGCCCTGCTTCTAATGCGCTCGACGTCGCAAACACTGCAGGAGCAGTGGTTGCATGAATCCACAGTTGACAGCTGATCATGCAGGGTCGCAACCTTTACCTTTACAGGCCCTGCAAGCTCTGCAAAAGTGGCCCAGATTAGCGCATCTCCGTTGAAAGGAGTGGTTTCCTATCTGGGGGAGCAAGCAATCCGCAAGCCATCAATCACTAAAAAAGGGAGTGGCGCAAGCACGCAAGTGAGCAAGTATTGTTCTTACTGCTACGACGACGACAGCGACGAAGACCACTGCAACTCCTGCTGCTGCTGTACTATCACTGCTACTGCGACTGCTACTGCGTCGTTACTACTACGACTACGACTTCGACTACGACTTCGACTACGACTACGACTACGACGACGACGGCGGCGGCGGCGGCGACGGCGACGGCGGCGGCGAGGCGACGGTGACGGCTGCGGCGACGGCGACGGCGACGGCTGCGGCGACGGCGACGGCGATGACGATGACGATGACGACTTACTACTTGCCGTGTGTGGAGGGCCGTCCCTTCCCGAAGATCTTGGCTTCGCGGTGCCCCTGCTCTGGAACGGAAACTGCACAACTCAAAATCAAGGGGCATGCCATGCAGAACAAGGCGTGGCCCGCACGTTTCTTGAAGCAGCCAGTCCGTCTGAGTTGCGTGCCCCCCCTGTGCCTTGAAGCAACATCAGCGCGTCTCTCGACTTTTCTTCGCAGCGCTGTGAGCTTGTTTGCCTCTGCTACTGTCATGCTTAAATTGAACACCACGTGCATGACAAGGAGAGGCCCGAACCGGAAAAGAGGTTCGTGATGCCAGAGCCGTTGATCGAGAGGCGGGCGTGCATGCGACAGAAGCCAAACCAAATCATACCCGAACACAGTTGCTGCAAGTTGCCATAGCATTGGTGTGGATTAGGGATTAGTGGGGTTCGAGTTGCGGGTTTACAGCTAGGGTGTTTTGAGCTCCGCAGGACTTTGCCACACACGCAAAAGTTCCATCAATCGGGTAGCAAAACTGTATCGTGTAGATGTCGCCGACTTGAATATGCCTGCAGCATCCGGAGAAGTCCTGCAAGTGGATTGTTCAAAGAGAACTGAATCTTGGCCTCAGTGTTTGGTTTATCATGTTTTGGGTTTTGGGTTTTGGTCAGTCAGCGAGGGAACGCCCAGCAGCCGAACCCTATTGAAGCTTGTGGTCCTCGTGGTTTGAGGCCGCAGTCTGACCATCATGCCGGGGCCCAATCAGAGCAGAAAGCATCCGGAATTATCCTTGAGTCCCAGAGCCTCTCGGAATAGCTTCAGGTAAGGCAAGTCGCGTGCGAGTCAGCATCGGTCTGCTGTCAGCCTCCGCATCCCTCTCTTACCAAACTCCATCTAGGTGACCTCTTGACACACTGTGACTCGTGAGCCAAAAAATAATGCGAGTAAATAGGAAATTCAGACTACAAGAACACCCTTGCAGTGACAATTTCCCAAAAGCGACCCCGAAGAAGAGCAGCGCCCTGTCAACTCGAGAGCGCTCCAAAACCCTCTCGTTTCCGTGGGCTCTATCAGTCGGCAGCGTTGGTCTCAGTTTTGGGCTTCAATCATTTCTCATTTGAATCACGCGCTTTTGCCGTGCTTCAACACCTTACCACATGCGGTGCTCTTGCGTTTGAGCATCACATGGTTCTATCGCTACATTTGAGCGAATGCAGTGCGGCATGCAATGACAGTGACATGTCTTGGCTCTTGATGTGAGGATCAGTTGGAAGGACATGGCATCATCGACCAGGCGGGCATCTTGAAGTTCGGAACGACAACATTTACAGATGCAAGCTTGCACAGAACCGACCATTGGCACCACGCTGCCACTGAGTGATGCTGCTGATGTGACGAGGAGTTTGAACGGCATGGGCGAGCCATCGACCAGGCGGGCATCTTCAAAAATCACAAGCCACCATGCACAAACTTGCTGGGGTCACCAGGTGCCGGTGGCTGGACAACAGATTGATGCGGCAAACACAGTGGGGTCGGGCATGCATGTGGCCTCGACGCGAGGATAACTTTGAACGACATGGCCTCATTGACCAGGCGGGCACATGCAAGGTCGGAATGCCAGCATCCAGAGTTGCAAGCTGCCGCAAAACCTGCAGCTTGCAGTTGTCGCCGAGCTGCCCTGTGCATGAATGCTTAATCTTCCTGCATGCTTGAATGTTAAGTCTGTTAAGTTAACACTTGATCCTGACCCTTCCAACCATGCCCAGCACCCTAGCACTGCCAAGTTCAGATGCAAGGACCGATGCAGTTTGAAAGGTGTGCTAGTGGCCTCCCGAGCCAGACTGAGTTTGATACAGTTTTGAGGGCTTTCCTCTCACAGCCTGGACCTTTACCGGAGCAGGCACCGGCGGATCGACGGAAACAAGGCCGCTTCGCACAGTGCATGATTGAGGTGAGTTGAGTGCTGCTTTAGGTTCATGCTCTCTAGAGCTTTCCCCTTCCTCTTGGCAGATGGCCCTGCTAGAAAAAGCCAGCTTCTGTTCACGAAACCCTGAACGCCTGGTTCTGACCTGAAGCCTAGCCTCAAGCAGAAGTCATGAAGGGTTGGCATCCTGCATGGAGTCCAACTGCACTGGGGAGAAGAGAATTCTTCCTGATTATCGAACTCCCTGACCCGTTCATGCTTTGGCAGGCAGCCTCCTTCCTCCTGGGCGCCTTCCCGGGAAGCTTTGACCTTGGAGACTGTGTTCTCTTGACCTTGTTGAATTGCGTTGGCTTTTAGATTGCTGTTCACGACGATGAGCAAGGGTCGGTGTTTCGCACCCCCCCCGTGATGATGGTTTTTCTTGGATCCAAACTTCCAGGAAGGCCATCCAGTAAAGTTTACGGCCGTGACAGACAGCTGCCATCCATAAACGCCTCGGCGATTGAAAGTTGCAAGCAGTTGCTAAGAGCTTGAAGTCTGCTTTCATGGCCGATGAACTTCAATCCTTGTGAAGGGCTAGAGTACGAAAACGAGGTGACACGAACGAAGTCTGCAGATAACATTAGGCTTTCGGGCTAAGCTGTAACAAATTCGTCCTTTCTGGATGCAGGCATGAGCCTGCCAAGTCTAATCCTGTGTCCGGCAAAGTCGCAAGCACATTGAGATTTTTGCTGAGATGTCGAATTTCGCAATAGTATTTCCAGCGTCAAAAGTGCCAACAGTACAGGTCGTGGCAAACAGCCAGGAAAGAGGACAAATGCTGGAGTCCTCTTTCGACCTATGAGGCATCCTTTTTCACTGTGACCTAGCGGCCCCAGGTCGTCCCAAAGCATTCCAATTTATTTCCTTTCAGCATTGACGCTCTTCATGCCCACCCCTGCCTAGTTAGGTTGAAATCATGCCTCGGCCCAGTGTTCCGAGGTGCGACTACTCCTACACAGGGCAGGGGCTGATGCCAGCTAACTCATGCTTCTGCAAGCTCGCGAACAACGAGGCCCGAAACCCAAAGCTCCAAAGCCCATGTTTTTGAAGTTGTTGCGTGGGCAAATCGAAGGCTTGAAGGAAAAGTGGTGGTAGTGGCTGTGGCGGCGGCGGTGGTGGCCGTGGTGGTGCTTGGTGGTGGTGGTGGTGGTGGTGTTGGTGGTGGTGGTGGTGGTGGTGGTGGTTGTGGTGGTGGAGGTGGTTGTGGTTGTGGTTGTGGTTGTGGTTGTGGTGGTTGTTGTTGTTGTTGTTGTTGTTGTTGTTGTTGTTGTTGTTGTTGTTGTTGTTGTTGTTTGTTGTTTGTCGTTTGTCGTTTGTTGTGTGTTGTTTGTTGTTTGTTGTTTGTTGTTTGTTGTTTGTTGTTTGTTGTTTGTTGTTTGTTGTTTGTTGTTTGTTGTTTGTTGTTTGTTTTTTTTGTTGTTGTTGTTGTTGTTGTTGTTGTTGTTGTTGCTGTTGCGGTTGCTG